ACCGGTTGCTACCACAACAGTGAATGCTTGACTGCCTTTGGTTATGACTGCCTGTGACTGGTCTTGACTGAATGCTTGACTGACATGTTGTGATTAACTGACTAGTTCTGACTGGCTGCCACATAACAGAGACAGTGAAATGTGTGAAAGGAAAATCTGGAACCAGTAATCCAGATATGAAATCGTTTAAGACGAGCAGGAGACGGTCTCACCTCCTCCCCTTCCCCATACACCAACATCGCTCCTCCCTCCCTCCTCACCATCTCCCATATGCCAACAAGAGTCCTCAGTAAAGGTAAAGTACAGTTAGATGTTTACTTATTTTATTTATAGTTTATAATTATACCTGATTGTTTTGTGTTTGAAAAATATGAGTAGTATTCAGTATAAAATGTATTTTTAAGTTAATATTTTTGGGTGTGTGGAACGGATTAATTCAATTTACATTATTTCTTATGGGAAAATTTGTTTCAAGTTACAATCCATCTCTGGGAACAGATTAAATTCGTAAGTGGAGGTACCACTGTGATAGCCGGAACCACACTATTTGGCTTAGTATGCAAAGTCCGATTTGCATAACAGGTCGAATAATTTTTTTTATTTTCAAATATGCCTTTCCAGATAGATTATTTTTGTTAGAAAGGAACCAATTACATTAGAAACATGATTTACTGACTTAGTTATGTAAGGATCTTCTTGAGGTTATCTTGAGATGATTTGAAGGCTTAGGGTCCCCGCAACCAGGCCTCCTTTTTGTTACACACCCCCATGAAGCAACCTGTAGCAGCTGTCTAACTCCCAGGTACCTATTTACAGTACTGCTAGGTGAACAGAGGCATCAGGGAGGTCCACTCAGGTCAGGATAGGTTAGGTTTGATCAAATTTCTGTTAGTTTTGAAGGAATTTTTTTTTAATTATATGTAATGTAATGGAAAGCTTTATTATTCCATAAGAAAAAAATATTTGAAAAATATATTTCAGGAAAATTCAGCTTCTTGGGTAACTTGGCCTGTTAGGTACAACATAGTTAGGTACAACATATATGTATGTATGTATATGTTGTACCACCTCTGGCTAGAAGAAAGGTACCCTTAGCCTTGGAGGAAATCACACACAATGCATTAGAGGGAATGTTTAGGTCCCCTCCAATACAGTTTCTGTGTGCTTTTCTCAAACCACCCCCTTCCTTTTGTGTTTTGTTGTACTTCATTAGACATTTAAAGGTTACAAGATGTACATTACATCTTGCATTACATACAATTAGTCTTAAAGGTTATGGATCTCTTGGAGCTCCTCCGTCTCCGGACAGGAACCGAGGACGCAGCAGGCATTTTCCCTCTGGATCGCCACACTGAGGCACTGAAACAAGAAACTGGCAGCCCTTGGGTCATTGGTGATGTCAATGAGCCTGGAACCCAATTCCTTGAGAAATCCCAAGGCACTCCTACCCAGGGGCATCTCAGATGCTATGGGAACAAAGCTGTATTGACCTTCCAGTCACCTGTACTTGATTGATTTTGCTGTTTCCCTGTGGTTGGCCGCCCCACCTGCTTGATCACCAAAGTGCTTATGTAGGCATCAACCAGGGGTGGATATACATGTGTAATCCCACACCAGCTGTCTGCCCCTCTTCCAGGGGTATATTGTGATGCCATCTAGGCAAAGTGCAGAGGGTCATCTGGGTTTTGGTCCCCTAGGATGCGAGGTTCTCTCTCTGCTGGGCACTGAGCTGAGGCAAGGCTCCTCTTGATGATGTCATTGACCTTGTTGTGTCTTGCATGCCAGTCCTTGGATTTTCTGCAGTGCAACTCGTGCAGTCCATATTGGTCTGCTTCCACCCTGTTGCAAGTACTGTACACTTGTATTCAGTGTGAATTGGAGCACCAAGGCGGAGGGCTGTATATATATAATAGCGTCATACCTGACAGCCATAACTGCACTATGTAGGCAAGGCCCAATTTGCCTAACAGGCAGTGATTTTTTGTTATTTTCAAATATTTCTTTCCAAATTTATTAATATAATAATAATAATTAGAATAAACCATGTGAATTGCTGACTTAATTAGGTTAGGTTTGATCAAATTTCTATGTTAGTGTTAACTAAAAATTATAAAAATTCTAATCATATAGAATGTTAAAGCTTTCCATTATATTATAAGAAAACAAGGGGGGGGATGAAATATATATATATAATATTGGTCCTGGCTCCCATTACAATGTGATACTGATTAATACTAGGAGTGTTCACTATTGCCCAGGAAAAAAAATATGGGTAGGCATAAAAATGTCCTTTTTTCGTAATATGAAATGCACATTTAGTATTAGATAAGGAAGAGATAATTTTTTTTTTGGTTAAGGTGGCAATTTTGATGATAGCCACACTTTGAGGGTTCAGTATAGTGTACAGTATTAATTATCTTTACTTGGTAGCCTAGGAAAAATATAAGAGATTATAGAATCAAAAGCATTAGTAATATAAACCAGAAAATGATCACAGGCACCATGGTTCAAATTATGAAGTGCTTGGGTTATAGACAACATCTCAGAAGGAGAGAGACCATGTGAAGTGAAGAGCTTACGATAAGTGCATGGGCTGTCCCATCTTGGACGGAAGGCATTCCAACCATCCAAGTGACTCAATCTCATTTTTAATCCATTGTTGCCTACAAGACCAGAAATATAAACATCTTCCAACTCTATTAGGGGTATGAATTTTGCTGCTTCTATTAGATGACGGATGATGTTTGAAGTCATTATGTAAGAAGTGCCAGACAAGAAAGGTGGCAAAAATTCATTGGGATAAATCTTGGGATCCAAGTACCACTTTGAGTATGGGTCTCTGTCTGCTTTCACCCTGTTATATAAGTATCCTCCAAATAAATAAGACTCATATTCATGAGTTTGAGAGTTGATAAAATAACTAATGTATTGGTATGGTGTAAAGGCATCACACAAGTTCTTTGGGAAAGTTTTCAAGAAGGTCAGGGCTGGAGTAACTTTTTCCTGTGCATCAGAACTGGATGAGTTGTCTTTCTTTTTTTCACTATACATATATTTCCGTGCCTCGTTAACACACACTGTTAAGCTGTATAGTCTTTGCACATTAAGAAAAATATCATCATCAATTTTGAGAATGAAACTGGCATTCATGCAGAAGCTTTGCGTCCAACTAAGAAGACTAAGTGTTTTAAGAGTGAGGTTTGAATAAGAATCATAGAAGCTCAAGTCCTGAGCAATGTCTCCATGCTTCTCTGCTTCTGCTCTCACTTGGTCCTGGTAAATAAGAATCATTGTTAATAAGAGTTCTACTTAAACAAATGTTATTTCTAAAGCAAACATAAAAAACATGCATTAAGGATTTCTATATACTGTACAAGGCTTTGAAATTTTTGCTTTTAAAGGAATTAGAAATACTGTACGCCCATGTTTAAGAAAGTCATGAATGGATGAAAATTATATTATCAATGGATTATCCATCAGTAATATAAGAAAATATTAATATAGTTTTCTGTGGGGAGCCCCTACAGCTCCCTGGAGCTATTGGGCTAATATGTGATACATTAGACCAGGGCTTTAGTTAATGGAGTTCTGCCTACTGGGGACCACGAGCCAGAACCTGGTTGGTTCTGACTTGTGGTCCCCGGTAGGCAGAACGCCACTGACTAAAGCCCTAGTCTAATGTATCGCATATTAGCCTGATAGCTCCAGATAGCCTTTGGGGCTCATCCAGAAAATTGCGTTTCATTACATTTAACGCTGGTTTTTTAATTATCTAGTACTGGTACTGATTGAAGTTGTGAAGAGATTTACAGACAAGTCTAGGTAAAGTTTGCATGTGATACTGGTAACTGAGCTAAACACAAGAGCCAGTTAGAATTTTAATACATGTAGCCATTCTATTATTCCATTTTCAATGGCCTTGGTCTAAGACCAGTTTACCAAGAATCTACAACCAGAGGTTCTAACCCTCATCAAGGCTCCTGTGGATTTGTTCATTGATGTATCATGTTAATGTAATTTCTCTGTGTGTACCAGTTTATACATTATTGTCTTTGCCTGCATGTAATGCTGTATTTGGATTCTTTGTTGTGGCTGCCATTTAATCCTTGGAGGTGGTTCTTAGTCTAGGCATCCTTTATTACCTATAAAATTTGATCAGAGTACTGTATCTTCATAAGTTTTTATAATACAATATGAAATGTAACAAATAAATGACCTGCCAGACAAAAACAATCTAATATAGACTTGTCATGTTTGTAAGCAGACGTGCAAATTGTATGAAAGTAGTCAAGACTCGAAATTCAGGTAAAGCAAGCAAGGAAGGCGAGTGACAATTGCATAAAAAGCCATGGCAAACTGAAAGATATTTATGATTAAATACAATCTTTTTAAAAATGTTAGTAATATATAGTAATGTATACACTACCTACGAGAATCTAGGTCGGCACCAAAATGTGGGTATTGCACTGTGCCATGCTGTAAGTTCTGCAACCACCCTGTACTAGCCCTGAAGTTCTTAATGCCTATGGTTAATGCTATTTTGTCATCTATAGTGTGTGTAACTGTGCATCACCAACAGACTAACCCATCATCATCCAGTTCCTAGAGTTTGGAAGGTTTCAGTTTGCTGTTACTTACAATTCCACCACTGCTTTCCATTTTATTTCACAAACTATATGATTTGCTAAATTTTTGTTTAGAAACAACAGTAGTACCAATACCATATTCTGACAGTTGCATGCCTCACCAGCCACGATTATATTTCTCTCTAATAACTTGGCCTTCTTAGTCATGGTAAGGAAGTTCCTCTTATCATTGTCTGAAGTGCACATACCATTTGCTGGCTTCAAGCTACGAATAGTGACTGTACATTGAAAGAAAAGCCAGTGAAAATGCTTGAGGGATGAGAGGTCAGACCACACTCCCACACAAGGAAAACACACGGCCAGTATTCATGGCCTTAATAGGTCTGGATGACTTGGAAAAATGTCAGGCTCTCTTGTAGAATTTATAGTAGAACTTTTCTAAAACAATTCTAAAATACAAATGAATAATATTTATAAATAACAATGCAAAATAAAGCAAGATGAGCAAGAAAAAAAACAAGAACTCACTTGAACAAACTATATGGGATATAGCTGATTCATTGTATTTGAATCCATCCCCCCCAACTAAAAAAAAAAAAAAACATATATATATTATTGTTTTAAGATGGCCTAGAACCACCATAATGCATATACTGTACAAGTTTGTTACTTAAATTAATCAGTATGGTAGTGTAGGGGTACCTTCGACAAGGCCACTAGGGTTAGTGGCCCTCGGGCAAAAAAAAAAAAAAAACCTCTTATGTACCCTCAGAATAACCCTGATGCACATTGGGTAAGTACAAATCCAATATAAGATATATTTTTCACATTGAATCATGAAAATAATTTCATTGGTTATGCATTCTTCATTTTGACCGTTGCATATAATAGAGCAATCACTGACAAACCATTTCCATAAGTAAAACTTATGACAATTACTGGTAGTGCACATGTAGTAAACTTTAGTTTGATTTATAGAAATAGAGCTGGAAAATGGTGCTACAGCTAAAAGGTTACCCTCAAAGTATGGGAAAATAAATATTTATAAGAAAATATAAATTATATAAGAAAAACAAGTAAATCTTTATTTAAAATGGGAAGAAAAAAATTGTATATCTACTCGAATTTTGGCCTGGGCAGAAGTGAACATTCATCACATTCATCAGCATTACCATAAAACCTGAGTAATTTTCTTTTGAAATGAAGGTTCTATTAGACATATGCTTCCAAAACTGGACCAGTTTATCTGCATTAAACACTTGCACAGGCAGGTAACCCTTAGCTTCGACATATGCTTTCAGGTCTTTGATGAACAGTGCTACTGCTGATTTATAAGTCCTAGCAACCTCACCAGTTGCTCAACATTATTTTTTATCAAGCCGTTGCATTAATTTCCTCTGCATTCAATTTAATTAAGCAGATGCTAGATTCATTCATATTATAGCAGCAACCCAGTGTTGTGGCATACTCCCAAGCTTCATCAGGATTTCATATATCTCCCCTATTGTTTTCATATGCTATCTTTTCTTTGAGTGGGTTTCACTAAAATTAATAGAAGATACAGAATGTTTGGTTAGACCCACAAGTGAAGCCTGGTCCTAGGGAATAGAACAACTCCCAGAACCCCATCCTGGTACTACCATGGTGCAAAAATAACACTTTGCACCATGGCTCTACATCACTTTGGAATAACAATATCCCAAAGCGAGTAAGTGAAAAGTTATTTTTAAGCATATGCAACACAATAAATAATATAGGCAGAGGGGTAGGCGAGGTAGGTATATAAATCCTGAGGAGTGCCAGCAACCACCCAAGACATCATGCATCTCCACACAAAACAATAACAAAACATGCCCACGTCAACACTCACTGTGCTGATAGTTGTTTGTGATTTAAATCAGTTAGAATTTTGTGAGTAACGAATATGGGCGCATATAACTGGATTAACAGTTTTGAAGATGCATTGTGCAAGGGATCATGGGATATTCAAAGGAAAAGAATCTTTATACAAACTAAAAAAAAAAAATACCAAAATAAATAGAAACAAAGATCAGGAGCTGAAGTCTGATACCAAATTATTTTGTGACCTCCCACGACTTGTCAGGAGACACCATTGAAGTATTGGAATATATTGGCAACATTGGTACAGTATCGAAATGGTGACATGTGTGTTAAAGTGTTAAACTGTGTACAGTACTTTAAATGTAAGTTATGTATTTTATGAGATCAATCAAACATTTCAGACTGGAAACATTAACATTATTAAAAGTTATTACTGAGAACACTAACAATTACAATATTTTATGTACAATACTACACTGTTCAAAAGGCAGTAGTTCTATATCTCAATTTCAAATTATATTATATACAGTATCTCTAAACACAAGTGTGGAACATGCCTCTAACAGGGATCTGATTAATATGTGCACTAATGGCATAATGAGTGACTGGTTTGATATTGATGTAGGTGTACATCAGTTGCGTGATTTGTGTATACTGTAGTCTATACGGAATTAAAATTCACGAGGATCAGTGTACACATGATCTTACAAAGGGGATTGGGTGCTTCTCTGGATAACTGCCGAGTGTTGTAGTGCTTGTTTTTGTGTTGTTATACATGATATGGTGTAATGAATGGATGAAATTTTTAATGTTCTGTACTGTATTATTTAATATATATAATCTTTTTCACAATATTATTCATCTTTTTTCTTTGGGCTGATACCTCCTGTCCCCATGACAGTAGGAAATTGGGTAATGATTACCTATGTTCGGTACAATAATAATAAATTTATCATGTTGTAACAATGTAGTTGGGATTAATATTCCTGGATATGCAAAGTATTGTTTTGAAACACTAGTTCCTAGGTAATAAGTGAGAGCAGTTGTGTGTGTGTGTGTGGGGTAAATGAGTTGTCAAAGGAAAGCAGTGTTAAGGAAATACTGAAACTATAAACTGAATGATGTGAAAATGTTTCGTAGGGAATAAGATTGAAAGATAACATTAACCTATAAATTAGCATGGCAAGGGTAGCTGAATAATTAAGACCTCTAGTAATCTGCTCACTGTTGCACAGACATTAAGTTGAGAATACGCACAAGTATGATATGAAGGTGTTTTATGTGCTTCAGCCATCCTGTTTTGTTAAAAGTACAGAAAAATAGAATAGATATAATGAACAAAATCCAAGTTGCAGTAAAATGACAAACCTGCAGTAAACTGTCTGCTGTTTCTCCAATATAGAAAATTAATTGCCATGAAGAAGGCAAGTGGGCACCCCAGCTTCTACGCACTGCTTGTCTTGCTTTTAGATTAGCTACAGAAGATGGTACAATAAGCAGCACGTCGACCTCGTTTCTTTTACACTTCTCTCTTACTTTAACTGGGTCCAGTGACATGTGATGCAAGCTAGAGAAAAGAAAGGAGTCAGGGGGAAATTTATGGTAGTATAATTTTTTTTTTAGCATTTTGTTATAATGTGGTCTTTAACATTCTTTGTGAATATACATAATTAACTACACAGTGTACAGTATGTTTTGGAACCAGTATGCAAGACATTTTAAGTACTTTACCAGTATCCTACTACTTGGACTTGCTGAATTGTTTAATATTTGTTTAAATGTAAAATAAAAACTTTGATATTGTGCCAAAGTGTGTGAAAAATAAGTTGAACAGAGACGGAGTTGTCCTGACTTACATACTTCCATTAGTAACCTAGACAGACTGATCTACTGCTTATGTATCCTATTCTTTACAAAAATCTAAAGATTCCTTCAATTCAAGCTTGCAAATTTTAGTCATTTATGCCATAATTAGTATATTATTTTACCTGTTTAAGAAAGTTGATGCATTTCTCAGGTGTATTGTTGTGGGAGGTCTTGGATCATATGTAGGCCATAGTTCTTTTAACAGTATCATTACCACAGCTACTGCCAAAATCCCCAGGGCTATTCCCCGAATCAGTCGACACCAACGCCGCATGACCATGCTCCTAACTTTATACCATCTTGGTTTGACACTGATTAAATAAGAGACCAAAAGTCCAGTTAACATATCTAACTACAGTACTGTATTCAGAAATGGCAATGAAGATTAATACAAATACTGCACTATGATGCATTCATGTAGACTGTCATATTATATTAGGATCCTACCTTGGTTTATGGAGGGTACAGAGAAATAATACCACAAGGTTTACTTTTGTTTAGACTTACCTGGGGGCCACTAGAGTGCACAGTATTTCATACCATACCAATAAACTTTACAGGACTTATGTGCAAAGACTAGGATTTTATATTATAGTACTTTATATGGAAATTTAGTTGTTAAATTGTGTTTGGCTAGTCTATATACTCCCTTTAGATCAAGACATAGCAAATTATTCAAATAAAATAAATTGGATAAGGTAACCAGTTCCTGGCCTCCTATGATACATTAGGAAAAAAAAAAAGTATGTTGCCAGTGATAGTTGCCATGAACACTTGAAAGCTGGTGATCGACCACAGCATCTCTAAATCAAATGAAAACAGATTGGCACATCATGCTGCTACCTTGCACATTTTAGCCTGGGCAGAGCGTTTGGGGCGATTTCGTTAAGTTTCGGACAAGGAACTCTGTAATCATACTATAGAATTGATGCTGTGAAGTAAAATCTGAGGAGGATCAGATCTTAAGCATCAGCGATTCACACAAAGCAGTTCAGTAAATATGGTGGAAGAAAGCTGTCCAAAAAAACATCAAAGCAGAAGCACCACCATTGCTGCTTTCTTTTGGGCAAGGATATTCCTGCATGGGCCCTAAGCCTCTCACTGAACCACACCGAAGTAATGTTGACATTAAGTGCCACTGTGTACATTTATATCACATTTTAATGCTTAGCCCAACGAAACAAACCACGGAACATTTTGTTGGTTGATTATCGGCTGTTTGGATTATTAGTCTGTCCGTACCAGTTGGTTTGTGTAGAGCAACCTTTAAAGTACATGGTCGTGGTATTGTTTGCAATAATTTATTGTTCTGGTGAACTTTTGTAGAGGCTTAAGAATAACCAAAGAGTTATGCAAGATGCTGAAGTACAGTACAGTACCTGTACTGTACTACCTTATATAAGAGATTTATTACTTGGTTTTAGAAATACAAACCTACCTTTTGTCTTTGGTCCAGTGATATATTTTGACGTTATGCTCCCACTGCAAAGCAGTGCAAGACACAATTCTTTGGTCTTGATCTCTCCATTTGTCTAGTCCTGTTTGTGTAATCAAAGTTAGTATTGTATGTATGTTGAGAAGTCATCTACACTTGCAGTTGTATGTACAGTAATCACCTCTCCTGGACAAAAAAACACATTAATTGATTAATCTGTTAAAGCTTCAATTAAACCAAATAATTGCCCCTTAATATACAGTACTATTAA